GAAAAAAGCGGATGAATTCGAGACCAGCACCCATAATCATACATCATCAACCACTAAACGCATCATTTTACCAGCTAGTTTAATCTTTCACTTCAATTTAAAACTAACCGTAAAATAATCGATTTAGAAGAATTTAACTAATTTCAAAAGAGAAAAACAAAGTAATTGATAACTAACCTCTAACTTCTTCTCGCAGCAAAAGCAATACTTGTTGATGTCCCTGTTTTTCAATTAGGTTAGATTCGATAGATTCAGAAAATGGGGAAAATAACAAAGAACTGGTGAAGGAACGAAAACAAAAGGGAAAGATTGGACACGTGTAATAGGCAACAATTATCGGCAGGCAATACACTCGAAATTGAATGAAGAACAAAGAAATTGAACCCACAAATTTGAAATTAACCCGACCTTCTTTGTATTATAGTTTACGCACTGAAATTGAACCACCCATGCCCCTCAATTGCATCGAATCGGTGAAAAAAAAAAACGTCCTGAATTATTAGCGAATCGGCGAACTCCGGCGATATATCTCCTTCTACCGCTGAAAACTATTGTTGGATAGTTTGAAAGAAAAATGGATGGGAAGATGAAAGAATCAGCGCCGAGATGGGAAAGAAGAAGATACCAAGCTGTCGGAACCAGTGAGATTTCAATCCAATTTTGAAATCAATGGAGACTTTTGATTCGAAGGTGATTTTTGATTCGTGGACATGGATGAGAAAAAATTTTAAGATTTGGAGAAAACCCTTTTGAGCAAGGACCGAAGGTTCATAGGGAAATTGGTTTCATGAAAACTATTGATTGAGTTGAGCGAGTGCCATTGATGTGTGCAGAGAGAGACAGGGAAGACGGGGAAGACAAATCCAAGAGAAGCAGTGGAAGGCCAAACTTGATAATCGTAGGGCAACACGTGTGTGGGTGAGTGACCGGTCACCATACCAACAAGCGGATGTCCGGTCAACTCGCCCTTATATATATGTAGATTCAAATTGGCTTTAGAAAAGATAACTCAAATCAATGTTGAAAATCATAAATATCTCATAGAGTATAACCAAAAAAAATAAGGTAATGTCTTCCATCTCGAAATAATTGTTTTATTTGTTTTATACTCTTTCGTTTTGAAAAAAAAGAGTCAATTTTTTTCAAACTCTTTGTACACCAGAAAGAAATAATAAAAAATAAAAATCATAACATATATTCCTTCCATTCTGAAAGCTTAAATAAGTTAAAATCAAGTTTATTTGTCTTCCATCTCAAAATAATTATTTTATTTGTTTTATACTCTTTCGTTTGGAAAACAAAGTCAAGTTTTCTCCACCTCTTTGTACACCAGAAAGAAATAATTAAAAAAAATCATAACATGTATTCCTTCCATTCTGAAAGCTTAAATAAGTTTTTTGACTGAATTTTCAATTTTAATACAAATTATACTAAGAAAATAACCCAAACCAAATTTTTGTTTTGGGATAGGGAAACTATTGCGTTTTCTTTAATCCTAGTCATTTTCATGTATTTATATTTAATATTTTTGTTTTCATGCAAAATTTACAATTTAATAGAACGTTTTGTTTTCCATATTTTAAAATTTTGATTTAAGATTGTCTGGGCATCCAATGCATAGGTTTAACATCTAGATTGGCAATATATTGTACGGAAGTAGAAGCACACTAAAAAAATTTCAAACATTTCCATATCCAAACAAGCATATACTGAGGGGAAACTACAAGAAGTTGGTACGTGATGAGTTTGATTATGACATAGAAGAATTGATGACAAAACATGATCTGTTGTTTGATAAACTTGCATATATGTTGATTCAATCAGAGGGAAATCTCATTACCAACATTGTCAATGGTATGTATGATATTTTTTGAATAATCTCGAAAATGTAATTATCTTCAAAAAAAGGCATCTCTCTGCCACTGAGGCATGGTAATGTAGAAACCATAAATGATTAGATATTGGCATTTATTGAAAAGGATGAGTTTCAGTACTTAAGTTCTGATAGCATATACAATTCAGAATATTTACACCCGGTTTTCTCAATATACATATGTTATTGTCTTCCACAGAGCAATTTAAAACTCAAGATGGGTGCTTCGATCATGTTACTTAGAAATATAAGCAAGCAAGTTAGATTATGTCATGGTAAAAGGTTTCGAGTAACGGTGTTGGAAAAACATATAAGCCAGACAAAGATGATAATTGGTAGCAATATGGGAGATATTATATACGTATATCATATGCCACTTTACCCATCTAATGTTAAATACTCGTTTAGAATGAAGAGAATGCAATTTCCTTTAGCTATTTGTTTTGCAATGAAAATAAACAAAAGTCAAGGTCAATCTTTATCTCACATGGGATGATATTTGCCCTGTCCAATTTTCAGTCACAACCAATTATATGTTATCTTACCAAAAGTTACTTCGAGACAATTAATAAAAGGAGCTGATATGTTATCAAGATGGTAATGTCAATGCCTAAACTATGAATATAGTCTACAGAAAAGTATTGCAGGACATGATTATTCAATTCCAAGTCGATTCTTTTTTGTTTTGTATATTCCTTTTTTTGGATTTCTTAACAGTCCACTTGTTCTTAAATAAAATATCAGCATATTCATGTGATAAAGTGTTTTTTATTTTTGTGTTTTATAGTTTCAATATGAATAAAACCATTATATATTTTATAATTAATATTTTTTAGATATAAAGTCTATAAAAATATAAATACTTTTACTTCATTCACGTTGTAATATCTATACGTATTTGTTGTCCCATCCATCGGACGGGTTAAACACCTAGTTAGAATAATCTTTGAGTCCGATGAGGAATGGGGATAGTGTAAGTAATTCAATTCGGATTTTAACGCAAATAATATTTAGGGTCAAACACAAAAAACCCAAGTTATAACCCAAAGAATAGTATCCCAAAGACTAATATTACATAAGTATATGTGTAAAAATTAAAAACAAAAATACTCTTTTAGCTAAAAATAATTTCTTTTATCATATTTTATTTCTTTCTTTTAATGCCCTATTTTGCTTAACAAATTGTTAAAGAATTTATTTATCGATTAAGATATTTACCCAGTTTTGTTAAAAGAAATAACTATTTTTTTAAAAGTAATTAATTTCAGTAAAAAAATTAATTTATATAGGGTTGAATTTTATTTTCAAAAAGGATATTATTTGTTTAGAAAAAAAAAACAACATAATTTAATAGTGTTCATGTTTTGAATTCGTCAATTGTTATTGAAATCAAACTATGAATGAAATTCTATCTTTTTTATATTAAAAAAGGGATATTCAACTAGGAAAAATTTTGTTTTTACTTAATTTTTTTTTAAAAAAATAGTTTTTTATGAAAAATTGGTAAATGTCTTATTCCTAAATAAATTCTTCATGGCCATTTTTTAACCAGGATAGTCCTTTGAAAAAAATTATATAAGTTACGCACAAAAATTTATTTTTAGTTGAAAATAGTATTTTTATCCTTTAACACATATTTTTAATCAATTCTGCTAGTAGTACGAGGGTGTAAAAATAGGTTGGGTCCAGGTTAGCGGGTTGGATTGGACCCAACTCGATATTTTTACATCAACCCAAACCCAACACATTTAAATATATACTAAAGTAAACTCCATAGAGAGATCCAATGGTATTTGGTTAAGCCATATAATATTTAATCCTATGTGTCAATCCCTTACTTTAGTGAATTTAAAAATTAAAAAAAGAATAACTTTAAAATTCAATTAATCGCGACTAAATTGTAACAAAAGTCATCATCGTTTAGAATTCAAATCGGTTTATCGTAACTACCTCATCAGGTTCTTATCAATGAAATCCCTACGAATCTTTACCATATCCGAAACATAAAATGAGAGAATTTATGTCTGCAATTCTCTCTTTCTTCCGCTCCTTTTCCTCTCAACGTTAGTGATATTATTGAAGAGGCCAATGAAGAAATCGATTAAGGGGAGAGTTTCTTTGAAGAATATGAGATATTTTGGGAAAAAAAATTTTGAGTTTTTACGACGATATAATATGACTGTCTCATCAAATTCATCAAAGGTACTTATGGGATTATATTTGTCCTATCCAGTTTTCAGTCACAGTCAATTATATGTTACCTTATCAAAAGTTACTTCAAGACAATGAGTAAAGGAAATGATATGTTATCAAGATGGTCATGTCAACACCTAAACTATGAATATAGTCTACGGAAAAGTATTGCAGGACATGATTATTCAATTCCATGTCGATTCTTTTTTGTTTTGTGTATTCCTTTTTTTGAATTTCTTAACATTCCACTTGATGTTAAATACAATATCATCATATTCTTGGTAATGTGTTTTTTATTTTTGTATTTTATAGTTTAAATATAAATGAAACCATTATATATATTTTATAATTAACATTTTTTTTACATATAAAGTCTATAAAAATATAAATAATTTTTCTTCATTTACGTTGTAATATCTATACGTATTTGTTTGTCCCGTCCATCAGATTGGTTTAACACCTAGTTAGAATAATCTTTGTGCGCGATAAGGAATGGAGATAGTGTAAGTAATTCAATTCGGATTTTAACGCAAATAATATTTAGAGTAAAATACAAAAAACCCAAGTTATGACCCAAAGGATGGTATCATAAAGACTAATATTGCATAAGTATATATATATATATATATATATATATATATATATATATATATTTATCCAACCATACAGCAAGTTCTGAGGTTTGACATTATTTTGGAAAAGCAAAACAGGAGTATTCTATGTTAGAATCATTTTACAAATCGTACAAAACACTTTCAGAAAAATGCTCGCCTATTAATCAAAGGGGAAAAAGAAAAAGAAAATGTCGACCTATTGATTTCCTGCTAAGAGGCATGCTAAAATTACAGTTGCCCAATTACTGGAAAATCTTCAGGCAGGTTTCCCCCCCAAAAAAAAAAAGAAAGAAAGAAAAGAAAAGAAAAAGAGAAAAACTTCAGGCAGATTCAGTACTGTACTCGAGATTAAATAGTATGTTCCGTCGATTCTCAGTACCCAATCGAATGTTGAATTGGGAAGCCAAAGCTCCTATCTTGCTATTTGTAACATCATCCATCTCCCGGACACATCTCTTTCGGACTTTTTTTAGCAATTCCTTCGATGGTACATATCCTTCCTGTACCATTTCCTGAATTACTGATAGAGCAGCTTTCTGGTTTTTTGTAACCAGGTGTGCATCAACAAGCAGAGAATATGTTGTGGCATTTGGCTTCAAACTTAAGCTGACAAAGTGATCAAACACCTTCACAGCTTCTTCTGTCTTTTTCAGCTTCCCAAAAGCATATATGAGAGAGTTGTATGAATGAATATCCGGTGTCAAACCAAAACTAGCATCAATTGCGTTGAAAGTCTGGTACGCTCGATCGACATCCCAAATGTTTCCACAACCCATAATTATACAGTTCAGTGCTGCAACAAACTTATAAGGAGGGTCACCTTGACTCAAATTCTCTAACTGATAATAAACCTCATCCAAAGTTACAAAACCTTTCTTGGAGCTTGCAACAACCAGTGGATTTAAGGATGTAAAAGGGGAGAATAGATCTTGCAAAGCTTCATCTCTGGGATTCCCATGAGCTGCTTCAAATTCACGAAGAGTACCATAAGCCTTCGGTAAGTTACCGAGAGAAGAATAGGCAGATATCTTTGCAAGGTAACATTCAGGGCTTGGGACAGTATCTCCACGTGATGTTCGCTTTAGGATGGACCACGAAGCTTCCAAGAGTTTGGGATTATATGTTCTACCAGCAGTTGCAAGTGCAGAAACAATTAGACCATGATCGACGGGCCACAGAAGAGGTGGCCTTTCAATCTCCCCGCGAGCAATCCATCTCGCCATGAATTGCAGGGAAAAAAAGGCAAGTTCACAATGATCCGATTGCAATGCAATATCCGCAATTTCATTGCACAAATTCCAACTTGGACAGAGGTCTTTGTTCTGCTCCATTTTCTTGTCCAATGTCATTGCACAATTTCATTTTCTTGCATAAGTATATGTGTAAAGATTAAAGACAAAAATACTCTTTTTAGCTAAAAATAATTTCTTTTATCATTTTTTATTTTTTCTTTTAATGACCTATTTTGCTTAAAAAATTGGTAAACAATTTATTTAGGGATTAAGATATTTACCAATTTTTATTAAAAACTACTTTTTTATAAAGTAATTTATTTCAGTTAAAAAATTAATTTATTTAGGGTTGAATTTTAAAAAATGATATTATTTGTGTAGAAAAACAACGTAATTTTAACAATATTCATATTTTGAATTCGTCCATTATTATTGAAATCAAACTACGAATGAAACTCTATCTTTTTTACATATATATTAAAGACGGAAATTCAACTAGGAAAAATTTTGGTTTTACCTAAATTTTTTTTAAAAAAATATATTTCTTCAAGAAAAATTGGTAAATGTCTAATCCCTAAATATATTCTTCATGGCAATTTATTAAACAAGATAGTCCTTTGAAAAAAAGTTTATAAGTTATGCACAAAAATTTATTTTTAGTTGAAAATAGTATTGCTATCCTTGTACACACATTTGTAATCAATTTTGGTAGTACTATGGGTGTCAAAATGGGTTGGATCCACGTTGACGGGTTGGATTGGACCCAACTCAACTATTTTTACCTCAACCCAAATCCAAACTATTTAATTATATAGGCCACGATCTTTAACCCTTACCCGACTTTTATATTAATTAGGTTACCCGTGTCGACCCTTTAAACCAGTATATTTTTTAAAAAATACAAAAAATTAATACAAAAAATCAATAAATGTGTAATTTATCATTCATACAGTAGAACGTCGCTAAAATAATAATCTATAAATTAATAACTTCTGCCGATTAATAATTTTCTCCAGTCCCAATTTGGGACCAGTATAAAAAGTGAAGAAAATTGATAAAATATTAAGATAATAATGTTTCAGAAAATATTTTATATATCTATAACTCTCCACAATATTATAAATTAGTAAATATCTTAAAAGAAAATAATAATAATAATATGAACTATTGATATTTGTTTTTTAGTCCCAGGAGATGACATGAACTACGTATGAATAGTATTCACAATAGTTTTATTACTTAATGAATTCAGATGTAAAGACAACAACAAACTACATAATCTAGTGACGGTTCTTTTTTTCTCATATAAATTCTTTAAATTAATAATTTATTAATTTATCGATTATTTAATAATTTGCTAAATTAATAAATTTTGATGGTGCCAACGCTATTAATTTATAGAAGTTCTACTGTATTTGGATGAAAAATGTAGTAACCATTTAAAAATTTAAAGGGATAAGAAAAAAAAGTGTTTATAATTTTTTTAAAGATTAATCAACTATTAAATAGTAATTATGTCGAAAAACTTTTAGGTAATTTAATATTATACGGATTAAATGGGTAATCCGCATAACTCGTCAGATCAACCCGAACTCGACCTGTTTAATAAATAGGTCAATCCGACCCAACCCAATTATTATATGAGTTTAAAATCTCAACCAAACTTGTTTATTTCGTGTCTGGTTCATGGGTCGTATCAGGATTAAGGAATTGACACCCTAGCCGCTAGGGTCTAACTTTTGTTATTGACCGGTGGTCAAGAGAGGTAATTGTTCTTATGAGAATTTTCAAAGTGAGGAGAGTTTTTTTTGTTTTTTTCAAAAGAAATCTCAAATAAACCCAGATAGTAGTAATATGTAACTTTAATTCGCAACATTCCATTTATCCAAATAAATAAATAAATAAATGTCACAACGCCCCTCCATTGGCTTCAGCCTTCATTACATTTGTCAAATTTTATGTAGAATTGACAAAATGAAGTTAACAAGAAAAAAAAAAAAAAGTCACAACGCTCCTCCATTGACTTTAGCCTTCATTACATTTGTCAAATTATGTGTAGAATTAACGTAATGAAGTAATTGATTAGATGAATAATAAATCTGTTTAGTTTCGTGCCCCAAGGAAAAAAAGAATTCTCTGCAGTTCAAATGTTAATATCATGAGCATTGTCAGCATTTAGTAGTTATTTGGTAGACATTCATAGAGGAATTTAGAGACGCCATTGTGAAAAGTACAAGGTGGAAAAAATGATGTGATCTTGTTCCCTACTATTACCCCCTTTTTCTTAAAAATAAAAAGTTGACATTGAGTTTAGAATTTGTAATTTTAGTGTAAATTTCAAAATATAATGTATACTATATATCAGGGACATGGAGTTTTATTTGTAAACAATATAACAAATAGACTATAAATTAGAATGAAAAGATTAATGAAATTGAAAATCATTTCTTTGTACTTCTTGATATTCTATTTGTTTTTTATCTAATTTTAATGTCAGTCAGAGCTAAAAGAACGTTCTAATGATACCCAAGTTTTCTCGATTATCCAAAATTTTCAGATTCATGTTTTCTTAACAAGTGACACAACCTCTGTTTCTGTGTAAGAACGTTCTAAAACCTTAATTAACGTTTTCTTTACCGTTAAAGTAAACACTCATTTTTTTAACGCTAACAGACTTCTTACCTCAACGGCTACTTTTTCAGTCCTCTCTATGCCCATCTTCTTCCTCCCCCAAATTATTTAAACTCAAGCTGTACAGTAACCCCATAATCACCATTCCCATTCCCATTTTTCTCTTCATCTCTCTCTTTACTGCGTGTCTGCGTGTTTTTCTTCTTTGTTGAGTCCAATCCAAAAAAGACAAACAAGAAAAGTAGTGGTGTGTGGAACCACCCCCCACAATGGCAGGAACTCTGTTTTCTTCGTCTCCATCAATGGTGGCAGTCTTTTCATGCCTGTTCTTCCTCATGAGCTACTCAGAAGCTGGTAGGGAGATTTTAGTTGGTAATAAGTCGGATTCCTGGAAGATCCCTCCTCGTCCAGATTATTTCAACAAATGGGCTCAGAATTCCCGTTTCATCATTGGTGATACTTTAGGTAAAAAACTTAATTAATTAATTTTTTTTCCATTATTTGAACTTGCTGATTCTATGATTCATTTGATTTCTTCCTCACAATTCGAATCCGTTCTTGCAGTGTGGAAATACGATGGATCGAAAGACTCTGTTTTGCAAGTGAACAAAAGGGATTACGTGACTTGCAACACATCGAGCCCAATCGCAGCATACAGAGATGGAGACACGAAGGTGAAGCTGAACGAATCAGGGCCTCACTATTTCATCAGTGGGGCAGTGGATCATTGTGAATATGGTCAGAAAATGATCGTTGTGGTTCTGTCTGAAGAGCACAGCAGGATTGTTCCTTCTCCAGCTCCTTCCCCTGTTCAACAAGAGTTCCAGAGTCCTGCCATGCCTCCTGTTAGCAGAGCTTCAAGCTTAGCAGGAGGATGTAGCTTAATAGGGATGCTAATGGTGGGTTTAATCGCTGGGATCATCTCGTCCGGCTTGTTCTAGATTTTGATTTGTTGGTAATTTAGTTAATTTGGCAGTGTGGTGGGGGGGATTACAAAAGGGATTTTGAGTTCGTCCCAACAATTTCGAATTTGTATTCTTTGATTTATTCTATTTCATTTGTTATTGAAGAAGAAGAGCAATTTTGTTTTTTGCAAACTAATTTTGGCTATGGTCACATTTATCAGCACCATTTTCTTTTTATTGTTCTATATATAGACATTTTTTTCAGATCAAAGATTCTGACTAGTAAACCGTGTATAATGGGGAGCACAAAACTGTGAAATAATTAGAGATCAAACATCATATACTTTGCTCATTAATTCAATGGTTTTTACGGCTCATTAACACAAGTTGATAGTAATAATGGTCATGTTCAATGTAACACAGAGTCGATGATACATCCAACAGAACCACACACCAATCACAGTTGCGGTAAAATTGTTTAAATAACATTGAAAAAACCTGAAAAAGAAATTCATTTATGTAGACCATTAACAAACATAAAAAACATTAATTCATGTAATATGGATTAAGCCTGACAACCTTTTACCCGTTTATACTAATCATTTTATATTATTATGCATCTAAAACTTCAATAAGGGTGGTCCTTCTTGCGCTGAACTTGGGCGCTCTGTACGAGTCACGTAGCTTGGAGCACTGATCACACTCCCCAAAGTACTTCCATAACAGCCTTAGCTAAGTTTCTTTTTGATGTGCTAGCCTTCTATATCCTCAGCTACATCAATGATTGTGAAGGTGGGTGTTCAATTTGTTTCCCAGAATGTTAGCCAATAGCTGTTTTTTCCACACACTACAGAGTTCCTAATTCTTCCAGAGCGAGCTTTGTGAATGCCTTCGATGCAGGCTTTGGCTTTTTTACCTGTAGTGCCGAGAAAGCGTTATGTGCTCCGTCCCATATGCAATGATACGTCTTTGCATCCCTTTTTACCTTTTTTCCTGGGAATGCGCCATCGACTCAGATGAACAACTCTGCTGTTGCTTCAGCTTTCTTTCTTTCCCTATCATGTTCCTTGCAAACTTGGGCTGACTGAATATCTTCTGAGGTAGCATTCCTGATCTACGCCAAAAAAGCTGCTGTTCTTCTATTGCCCAATGTTGTACTCGAAGTAGCTGCTGTTGAGTACTTTCCCAAGTTAATTCATTCCTCGTAATCCAAATGAAGAAGGATTGTTGAATTATTTCATATCAAGGGCTGCAAGAAACAAATAGTGATTGTTACAATCTGAAAGCAAGTTGTAATGTTGTCTCTCAATGTTGCATCAAAACCTTCCTACGCATGATTTGGAAGTTTATTAAAAAACCATCACACCAAGGCGCTGGTTTTCCCTCCTGTTAACTTGGGTGATTCCCCAAGAACCATTACACAGAACTCCCCATTTAGGGAAGGAATCTGATCACATGAACAATTGATAGAGCCAATAATAACATTAATCCTTGTATCTAGTTGCTGATTTTGCATTAACATATGTGAAACTTAACTTCTTTTTGTTGCTTGTTACTTTTAGCTGTTAAACTGCTATTAATTCGTTAGAAGAATGTATATATTTTGATAGAAAGAATCATAAAATTCTTGTTCTGCACATTCCCTTCCTTTCTCAATGTGCCTGACGAATTATGGTAATTCCAAATAAACATAGCACAGACCAGCATGGTTTGATAAAGACACAAGATAGGAGATCTCTCACCACTCTGATTGTTGGATTTGAGAAGGGCAACAATACTGGAAGACTGGACTGTGAAATAAAGGCTGGCAATGGTGTTCAGTAAAATCTAACTCCAGGGCGTGGACAGTGACCACAGACAGTGAAAAATGTTACCTTTTTCTTGGAACAATTTCCCCTCCCTTTTCCCAAATAACCATTTACCTTTATGTGTGCATTGTCCTCCCTTAGAAGAAATAAATTAGCCGGGTATTTTGCCAGTAGTGATTTACTAATTCTTGCCAGCCCCAAAAAATTAAAGCGATGGCGCAGAAGTACAAAGACTAACACTACTAGAAATATTCACCTTGAAACAAGGAGCTCCTTATGAAGGCCACCCAGGAGAAAAGGCAAGAATGAGAATGAAAGGAACCATCAAAGTTTTGAAATTCATTCAAGACCTATCCTACTGACTTCTAGCAGTCCATCACAAAAATTTATCATGCAGACAGTTTACCCATTAGTGATTTATTGTGGTAAATGCTAAATTAGAATGCTATCACATTTGGTCCTAGTTAAGTCTCTTTTTCTTTTCTTTGTACCTGTTTTATATTTACCATAGGAAAGGAAAGGTACAGACTTTCTCTACAAACAAGATCAAATTAGTTTGAGCATTCCCAAGTATCATGTGAGGAAGAATTCAAATTCTTAAGATTGATTGTACACAGTAATGGGACCCGGAAAAGACATATTAAGGGCCTGCACATTTAATTTTTATTCAATTAAACATACAAATACATCAATTCATGCTTGTTATAGCAATATTCTACCTCACTAGCAGTAATTTACTCCAAAAACTAACAATAAGTCCTATCTTTAGTGAAAAATCTCTAACATAATTTAATTATTCAAAAAATATAATTCGACATCTATATAACAAGGTTTTCAATTAAAAGAATAACAATTTTTGATCAAACTAATAAATTTAGATTTACACAATATATTTGATAAAATACAAAATTAACAAAATAAAAACAAATAAAACAGGGTCAAATCAATAACATTACAAATAATTGGGTCAGAATATAAAATTCACAAAATTGATGAATAAAGACCAAAAATTCGAGATCAACCGGTTATTCTCTAAATTAATAAAATAACTCATAATATTCAACAAAATTCAACAATTCACATTATAAAAATAATTTTTATTCTTCATTCTACATCAAATATATATTTATTGAAGCAAATTTTCTAAAACCAATTCTCAATAACTACCGAAATTAATAAATTTAGTAATTTCGTACACTACAACAAGATTAATAGCCCCAAATGACAATAGAATGTATAAATTTTACAAATTTCATAGAGAAAAAAAACTTACCTAAATGGGTTGCCTCTGTCTTGCTCCCGTGCAGTCCAACCTTCCAACCTTCAATATGAAAAATGCCTCTTTCCAGCTCCGTCTCTTCCACCGGAATGAAAATTTCAACTGAATGCAAGAAGAATTGATGATTTTAGTTCTGCCGAATTGGGGGTGATGAGTTTTAAATTATGAGTCTAGCCATCACATTCGCATTCGCCAAATGCGAACATTTATCCAAATTGTCAGCAACTGCCACGTGTCGATACGCTATTGACCAGTCAGATTTTAATAGGATAAAAAGACAGTTCAGATAAAAAAAATTGGCATCCGAATGTTAGTATCAAAATAACATTAATGATTAATGCGCTTTCTTTTCAAGGTCAGAGACTACCTCCAAAAGCATACAGCTTGTGATGATCGAAACAAGGAGTAAGCCTCCAAATAAACAATCAGAAAACAAGACGTTTAAGCAAATGAACCATTTCATTCAAATACAACTATTATGGGGAGAAAGAAAACAACAAACCTCCAAGATACAAAACAGTATTTTAAATTGATGCAAAGATGATGTGGACATGGGAGAGGCAATGAGATTATCAAAGGGGCAAAAAAGGTAATGAATAAGGAAATAAAAAATTTCAAACAGAAAATTTAGTTACCACTGCAAAATAGCCTAACGACATATTAGTTAAATGTGAAGGATTTCTCACCTTTGCTTTCTTAAAGAATGGAATAATGCTTATCACCGTTTAAGACGCCGATCGCACCACAAATCTTACTTCTAGGCATCTGGAGTAGAGTCCTGAAGTAAAATTTGCAACAGAAGATACTTTAGAGAATAGAATGAAAGAAATACATAAAATATAAATTAACTGTTTGGAACGATTTTGGAACCTTGATTTGCAAAGTTGAAGTGCCAAAGCAAAGCTGAGCTTTCTTTCTAAAATGCCAGAGACTCAGCAGCAGACAGCAATACCAGGAGAAGACACAATGACCTAAAGTTCTCGAAACAGAAATCACTGTGGCTTGGAGAAAGTCGAGATGTAGCCCATGAAATGATTCAAGACTTGTTATAGCTGTAGCAGGAAACTAATGACACTTAGTTATGCAACATCAGAGTGGAATCATCATCCACACAAATCCACATCCCTTTTTTCCTGATCAATCCAGCTGTAACCCGGATCCTTAATTACTTCCTTTTGGATCATCATACTCCTGATGCTGTTTGCCTCATCCCACCTCCCTAAAGATGAATACATATTTGCTAGAAGTACATACGAGGATGAGATTTTTGGGTCCAGGCGGAAAAGTTCATCTGCAGCTCTACTTGCTAGGCTCACATTACTGTGAACCCTACAAGAACTAAGCAAAACTTCCCAAACAATTCGGTCATCTTTGTATGGCATCTGCTCAATAAGTGATTCAAGTTCAAGAAAGCGCCCAGCACGCCCCAGCATATCAATAACACAAGTATAATGATCTGGAAGTGGCTCCACCCCATATACTTCCTTCATTGTATTAAATATTTTCACCCCTAGATCAACCAATCCAGAATGGCTGCAGGCAGTCAAAACAGATACCAAAGTTATGTCGTCTGGTTTGGGACCCGATTGAATCATTTGTTCATATAAGCAAACAGATTCATCTCCGTAGCCATTCTGTGCGTACCCATATATCATTTCATTCCACGTAACAGTATTTTTATAAGGCATTAGATCAAAAAATTGCCTAGCGTCAAATACATTGCCACATTTAGAATACATATCAAGAAGTGCACTGCCGACAAAGACATCATTTGTATAACCATCCTTCAATATTAAACAATGAACTTGCTTTCCCTGGGATAACCAAGATAGATTTGCACAACAACTCAGTGTAGTTGCATAAGAGAATTCAGTAGGTACTACCCCCTCTCTAAGCATTTGGACAAAGTAAGAAAACGCTTCAGTATACAGTGAATCAAAGGATAGACCAGCTATCAAAGTATTCCAACAGACAGAATCCAGTTCATGAACTCTACGAAAGATAAGCTCTGCAACTTTTGTCTTACCACACTTCAAGTACAGGCCAATAAGTCCACTGGCAACAAAGACATCATTGTGGAATGCAGATTTCATGAAAAATGCATGTGTCTGCTTTCCCCCTTCCAAATAACCTAATAC